AGTAAATATTAAAAAAAAACACCTAAACATTGCTTTTTGTGTGTCACATGGTATGTTGAATGCAGCACTGATTCAAATTAAATGTTTGTGATGTCAAAATACAAAGTCTGTAGTTTCGTGTGAATTAGGAACTCAATTTACTGATAGCAACAAGCTAGAATATAAAATAAGAACCTCCCATCTTTTCTGTTTGCTGAGATATCAGTCATATACTGAATCAAATACAGTGGGCCCACTCACCTCTTTCCATTTTTGGAAATGGTCCCTTATATACACTTCTGTATATGACATGTGAATAACCAATCAAAACCTCAGAATGTCCCCCTAGTGGCTTTCTCAGCCATTTTCATGTTTTATGATGTCATTACAATCTTTCGATACAAATCTTCATGCTGGTAAAGTGAGTCTTTAGTGAGCTCGAAATTTCATATTTTTTTAGACCTAAATACAGCTTAGTTACTAAGTTTGATAAATTATAGTGGAATTCTATTCTTTGGATTTAGTAATTTAAAATGTTTGGTTGTTTCAAATGTATATGTGAAAAAAAAAATATATATATTTTATTTTACATCCTGCATGTGTGAAATTTGATAAGGGTTAGCAACCTATAGCAAGCAGCAAATGAGTAAATAGTTCGTAACTAGAAGAGATAATTGTTTGCCGTACTTCTTTATTTACTGTTCTATGTTATAAGAACTTATTTGTAAATAGTAATAATGTATAACATATATAATGTTGTATTACTGAAATGTGACCAAGACAGGTCACCTTGTAAAGGCCAGATTTATATTCTTGGATACGATAACATGAGTGTACGTGTGGCACATCATTGCAACTTCTGTAATGTTAGCCAAGCATGACTGGAAGGTGAATATAATGAAAATAAATATATATAAATGTATGATGTTATGAGATTTAAGCTATTTAGACTAAACATTTGTGTTTTTGTGTTATAATTTGTCGTCATTCTAGAACGAAACAAGTATAACTTGTATTTATTTTCTAATTTTTTATGGTGATTACAAGATTGGTCAAATTGACAGACCCCATATGGTTAGGGTAGAGAAAATAACAGACCAAATATAAAGATTTACTGAAAACAAATGTTTGAAATGTATTTAGGAGGTTTTAGAGATTACACAAATGTAATTTGAGATTTTTGGGATGAAGAATAGTTTTTAATCATAACATGAAAATCACTTCGCACTCAAATAGTAATGAAACAGACTCAAAATTTTCATAAACAAATCTTTAGTAAAAATATTTCATTCAAAACCTGATTTTTTGTGCAAAAGAGACTTGTAATCATTACTAAAAGTTTACCAGATTTTGGTAAGACACACATACTGCATTAAAAGTTATAATATAAATACTTAACGTGTGCAAATGTGTATACGAACTTGTGTATTTTATACTGAGCCCGTTGCAAAAGGGTTAACATTGTTTCTTACCCCTCTACTTGTAATATCATGTCGAAAATCCTACCTGTAATAAGCAATTGCAGTTTATGTGGTTAAAATTACTGTAAGGCAAAGATTAATTAAGTGGTCATTGTTGTGCCCAAATGACTTTTATTAGGACATGATGAAAATTGTTAAACCAAAATGTTAATCACTCAATACTTTTTCCCTTAAATGGTTAAACACTATTTCTTATATATATATTTAAACATTATTTGAATTTCTTTATTGTACTGACCACCTCCAACTATTTAATTACTATATCACACTTTTCTGCATTACATGAATTAGTTCTAATGTTTACTTGTAATTTATCAAGTTTTTTTTTTTTGGTGATATGAATTTTAAAATTGTTGAGTAAAATTTTCTTGCAAGTAACAATGGCCACCTAGTGTCTCATCAATAAGTCTAAAAATTGGGTTTTGGTATCTGCAGTGTGCACAGCACAAATAGCCCATTGTGTAACTTTCTGCATAACAACAAAATAATCATAAAATATTGACTTTGTATACTTTTGCAATTACGTGAATGTTATTACAAATATGAAATGAAAATTTTTGAAGACGTTGAAATGCATCTTTTTATAGTTTTCACTATCTTAAATTCCCTATAATTAGGGTATGACAAGACATGGTTTAGTCTTGGATTAGACTGATGAAGGTATTATACATTTCCTATGATTTCAGACATAATTGTTTATATTAAAAATGTTATAGTTAATGTATTTAATGAGTAGGTAAAATGATTTTCATTTCAGTTGTTTTTTTTTTAAACTGATTTGTAGGTATAAACACTAGATTGCTACTTTTAATGCTTTCAAATGAGTTTAATTCACTTTTTTAGAATTGTTTGATGTACAACTCAAGCAAAACATATTTAAATTAAAGATAAAAAATATTAGCAACAAATTCTAAATAAAACTGATAGAATATTAATACTAACTTATAGCCAGAGTAAGCTAGTATTTAAAAACCAGCTGATGAATTAGTTTGCCATAACATTTAACTTTTTGAATTTTTTTCTAAGAAGAGAAAATGTGGGTTCTTTTTATTAATCAATGTTCTTTTATTTAGGATTGTGACTATGGTAGCGCTAAGTGTTTTCAAATCTTATGTACCATCAATAACCTTGGTGCAAAAAAGAGTGACGTTATAAAAATAAAGGCTCGTCTTTGGAATAGTACTTTTGTTGAGGTGAGATATATAATTTGTTTTTGCTATAGTGTAACTTAAAATGTATTTTAACACTTCAAATTTAATGGATGTGCATGAATAGTGTGTGTTGTAGTATTCAAAATTATTTTCACTTATACATTTTTAGGGTGTACGTAGTTTAGATAATGTGGAGGTAGTTTTAAAACCAGGCTAAACCACTTTTGCTTTTATTACATATTATCTTGGTGTCACATCTACTTTCTCATGGGAAAGATTGCTATAGGAATACCTAATTGAATACACTATAAAGGAGGACAGTGATCTTTACCACTGGCAGGCTAGGTGATGCCTTGAGGAGATATCGTCCCTTATTTTTCTAATGGAATATAACAACAATGACGTGTAGAATCTTGTATATAATGTTATGCTTTCTTAGTCTTTCTTAGCAAGTTTTAAGTCAGAAAAGTAAAGTTTTATGCCTTTAAATTAAAGCTTAGAATAAGCTACAAAAGATGTAAGGAACTTCCAGTATAAGCTCTGTCCTTTGTGTTTGAAGATGTCTGGCTGAATTATGTGTGGTATCTTTTTATTTTCATTCAACAGTTCTTGTTTTCACTGCCATATTGTGTCAAATCTTCTCCTTTAGTTCAGTTAAGTGGTTAACTTTCTCATTTCTGAGGTTATCAGTGTGCCTGAGAACACCACAGTGTAATACACAACCCAGGAGTGTGGCTTGTATTCTTTAAAGTATTGAGAACAGAAGAGTTAAAAAACTAATAATATACTTCTAGAAAACTAAAACTGCCTAATTTATTAAACATAGAATATTGAAACATATATTTGTAATTTGTACTTTACAAGTTTATAAAACTATTATTTACTTTTCCTAGGATTATCCAAAGGTGGATTATGTTAGTATAATTTCCAGAGGGAAGATCTATCTTGACTCTGATTTAGATATTGAGCAAAACACAACAAATGATGTTGCCTCAGTAAGTTATACATTCTTCAATTTATTAATTACTATTTTGGTTTTTCATGTACTTTTGAATTATTGAACAAATCAGAAAATGATGTCTGATTTACCAACACACAACACACTAGATACTTTGAAACGTTAATGATCAGACAAAGAAAGTCACAATGTGTTGTGTTAGTTTTTCCCTGAAGCCTTCTTTAAAATTTTCTTTCTATGAAAGTGTGTTGAAGGCTTTTCACCTGAGATTTATATTCAGTTTTTAGTGAAAATGAGAAAGATACTACACTGTAACTCATATGAGATAAAAATACTGATTATATGTCAACTTTTTTGTCAAACTAATGAGTACAGCTAGTGCAACTTTTTTAGATTGTTGGTAGAAAAAAAATTTAAATATCTCAGTACCTAGAAAATTACTTTGATATTGTTTTGTGCTTATCTGAAACCTCTTCATCACAATACACTCATATGTAACATTCAGAATTTTGGAGTACAAATACAACTGAAATAACCAGTTTAAATTTTGTACAAAGTTCAAGCAAGAATGGTAAAATGCCCTCTTTTTGAAAATTTCAGTCCCAAGATATCCTATGAATTAATTGAAATAAATTAGTATTATTGTAATCTAAATTCCTAGTTGCAATAAAGAAAGTTAGAAGTATCATAAAACTAAAGGATAAACCACACTTAGTTAAGCTATGGAAAAGATATTTTCTCTAAATTAGGTCTGCTATTTACAATTATTGTTCTGAACAAGAAGTTAAGGTAGCATTTGGTTGCACATTTTATGGATTTTATAGAATCTTACAAAAAATATTTGTGTGTAAAAGAAACAGCACATATTTTAAAATAAAATATATCAAATACCAATTATTTTTTGGAAAAAATATAACAGAGTTTGTTAGATTCTATAAAAGATAAGTTTGATGTAAAAAGGTAAACAAAGAAATTTTTAAGAAAACATAAACCAGCAATTTTTTGAAAGGTGCAGAGCTTATTCATGTTGATTGATGTAAAGTTGGTTTGTAATGGGTATGTCATCTTGTGAAAGCTTGTGAACTTAGATTTCTGTGTAGAGGTTTTGACAAGGGGAGAAAAAACACTGTATGCAATATACAAAGCTCATTCTATTTACCCATTGTGCAAGTACATTTTAGACTTTTTGTATTATTTTTCCAGACTCAAACAAGAACAAGTCTCAACTTGAAGTTATTCAGTGTGTAGCCTATTTAAAATTTCGTATTAAAATCTTATACTCTTTATAAGGTAAAAATATTACAATATTAAACTACTGTACTATTTAATTTGGAAAATAACTAATACATTTTTTGACTTACTAGAAAACATTTTATACTTTCCTTTTTATGGTTAATCTTTAACTCAATATGAACTACTGTAAGCCTTGTTAGGTGGTGAACTATGACATGAAGAGGTAATGTGTTTTTTTCTCTCCCTGCTGATATTTAGTAAAATACATTCTTGTGGAATTATGCTGTTTTTTTTTCAGTGAGACATTTGAAATGGAAAAGAAAAAAAAAATCCCGAACAGATTACTTTTTGATTATAATATAAAGAAGGTATACTAAATATTTTTGAAGGGCTGCTGAAAAGTGTGTTTACAATGGCATGGTTAATGCTTATCCCTAAGTTTACAATTGCATGCTTTTTATTGGGAAAATATTTTTTATTTGAAAGCATCATACATCATAAAATGTCTTCTAAATGGTGTGATGTTTGTAAAAAACCTTTGCCTGTTGATGAAGACTGTGTAAAACGTTGTGGAATTTGTAAGAGTTCACTTCATTATCAATGTAATGGATTGTTAGAGACGACATACAGACATATGTATAATGCCAAAAAATTGTCATACCACTGTTACTGCTGTTGAGATACCAGTTAATTATAAGAAAATTCTTGTTTATTCAACGATGTAAAATATAACTTGACAGCAAGCAACAACAGAAATCTAATAAATGAAAATGTTACTGAAACAATAAATTTGTGAAAATCTAATGATATTAGAGATCAAGAGAAGATCCTAAAACTCATAGATCTGGATATGATTGAACATGATTTACAGAATCCAATGGTACCTTCTACGCTCCAAAATATAAACAAAAAATTAAACATATTAGATGAAATAAAAATGGATATAAATGATATCAAAGATTCCATAAACTTTTTGTCAGCTAAGAATTATGAAATATGCTTAATACAAAGCAAACATGCAGAAGATATCAAGATATTGAAAAAGAATGAGGAAAGTTTGAAGCCTAATAATACTCAAAACAGTGATTTAATTTCCAAAATATTAATTCAAGTTAATGATCTGGAACAGTGTGAATGAACATAATACAACAATATAATGAGGAACTGAAATATATTTTACACAAAGTGGCTGAAGAGTTTAGTATACCAGATTACAAAAAAAAGATGAAAATATTAATGGCTCATAGAATATCTGTCCATAATAGTAAAAAGATAGAACCTATAGTAGTTAAATTCAAAAATGTTTTCCATAAAGAGAAATAGTTGAAGTATAAGAAGAAAGTGGTTAAACAAAGTCAAATCCAACATAATATGGGTGAAGGCAGAGTTTATATAAATGAAAATCGAACAGCCGCTAATAAAGAGCTGTCTTGGAAGGCAAGAACATTATTAAAAGAAAAATTATAAATTTATTTGGACAAAAAATGGAAATGTGTTTGTAAGGAAACCAGAAACTGAGAATGTAATAAAATTAAAATTGGATTGTAATTTGGAAAATTTGTAATTTAATTTGTTGTAATCTATGGATATTAATCTAAAAAATAGTGAATATACTGATATAAATTGTAAAAAAAGTAGAAACTATATATGATGTTATACACAAATTAGAACATATTGAAGGTGATATTTTGCATTTGTTACATGTTAATATTAATAATATTCACAATAAGTGGGACTATTTTTGTACAGTTGTTGATGAAGTTTGATATTGTTAGATGTATTAATAATCACGATACATTTCTAAAAGAACATGAAATCCAAAATTATAATTTGAAAGGGTATGAAAAAAATTATAAATGTAGAAGTAATAAAAGAGGAGGAGGAATTTTAATTTTTTTATAAAGTAAAACGAAACTTTAATTTTACTTACTTAAGTAAAGTTAAAGTTACGTCGTAGGAACGTACGTCCGAACCGGAACGGACCAACCAACGGGGGAAGGGGTAAGGTA